GGTCCTAATCCTGCGGTGTAAACTTTTGCAAGCACAGTGACTAGTGAATCTCTTCCTGCATTTTCATTGCAGGGGTGGGACTGAGGTAAATGCAGATGTTCACTGAACAGCAAAACTCTAGGTGTGTTGGCTGAGTAGGGGGATAGGTTTTGGGTTTAAAACACATAATTTTAATTTAAGGAATCAGGGAGCTATCCCAGCCTCTGCAGAACCAAACACTCAAGTTGATCGATAAAGCTTTTTTAGTGAATCCAAGTGCTGAAGTATCAGTTTGGAGTTAAACACACATAATATTTGCTGGATGGTAGCTGTTATATCTCCTTGCTTTACATTCTAAGAGTAAAACTCCAAATTACAGCCACCTCACACCTTCACTATTTATGTTAATATGCCAGGAAAGGTCATTGCTTCAAGCAATGGGCAATAAGGCCTATTTTAAAAAAAAAAAAAAATCTGTTTAGATACAGTGGTAAGAAGCATTGCTGATCTTTATGGTGCTTTGTCATAAAGCTGTGTTTGTTAAAACTTGAACATACTGACAAATGTTAATTTAACAATATGCAAACACAGATCTAGCTTCTTACATGTTTTACTGCCGTAACACCTGTGCCTTCTAGCATTATAACCATACCAGTCATATAAATGGAAAATATAATAGAAAAGCTACTTAGTAAACTATGCAAGTCTCCAACTTAGCAAGGGCTGCCTGAATGGCTCCTACCAAGTATACCCTGGTCAAAGACTTCCATCTAGTGGCTAAAACTGCAATGACTATAAACTAAAAAATGCAAGTAAAATTCAGGTAGCTGTGAGCAGTCTTCTAGGAAACTACTTAATACTTACCTAGTTTTTGTGCCACCTTACTAGAGTAAAAAGTATCATATCAAAGACACATTTCTCAAAATTGTTATTTCCAAGAGCCTATGGCATCATCAGTACAACTTCATTTCTTTCCTACAGCAGCACTGATTTCACCCCTCTAACACTAAATTTAGTAAAATACTTTTCAAAACATAGCTCTTATATTTTAGGGATAAGAGTCAGATGCAGAATCTGGGAAATCATTCCCTTGCTAGCAGTGTGAGAGRTGAAACAAAGGATCTAAACAGTGTCGTATTTATGAGCTCTGCTGTCAGGGATAATCCAGAAGTAGCCTCTGTTTTATTCCTCATTTCCCGCCTCTGACTTGGTCAAATCACCTGTGGCAAATCTATTAAAAAAAGTTAAGATAGCTACTTCTAGCGATATTCTASAACTTCATATTTTTCAAAAGTGGTCTGTTAAGTATTGTTTAAATTACACGTTTCAACTGCATATTTTATTACTTCAACCTTACTTTTCTTTCTCCTTGTATTTAAGTGACCTCATACAGAAAGTGAAGCTGCTGTACATGCTAGCAACAAAGAAACACAGATTCAGTCTGATGTTCAGTAAGTTGATCTACATTTTTCCTGCTCCTTCCTCACACACAGACTATCTTCAACAACTGATCCTCCACAAAACCATATTCAGCTGTCATTCTGCATTCTCTTTTTAGATTTTTCAAATAAGGTCTTCATTTTACAGTTACAGGAAAGAGCGAGTTTTATCATTAAAACAAATAAAAACACTAAAAATATAGTTCTTAAGACACTGTATCAGAAGTCTCACGTTTCATGAACACAATTCTGATTTCAGGTCCAGAATTGTGCTTTTGATGCTCAAGTGCCCCCAAAACGCCAGCATTTTCAGGTGGCTGTACAGAGATGCAGATGCAACTTCATCCTAGACACCAATAAACTCAGAGCCCCCTGCATAAGGGACCACTGCAATAGCACAGAAGGGTCTTACCACAGAATCAGACTTTTGTGTACAAGTTCCTAAACCAGACCGGCCAAGCCCTGAAAGGCTGTAGTCAAAACAGAAATATGCACAAACATCTATATGCATCTTCCTAACATAAAAAAGGGTGAAGAGTATGTAAAACTGTGAATACATGCACTCCAAGTGCAACACTCAAGAGAATCTCTGAAATCTCAATACCAAAACCTGAATAAATAGCAGGAATTAAGAGCTATACTTGAGCTTGTAGGAAGTAATTTTGATTTCATACCCATGACCCATCCCTACACTACCCCTGATTTCCAGATAAGCCTTATCTGTATGTATGTATACCTCTAGGTATCTAGCTACTTGGAAGGTATGCATACCTCTGAGTGCAAGATTTTGCACAGATACACTTGTGCTGATAAGCTATGTTGCATGCTATTTTAACAAAACTAAGAATCTCAATAAATACTTACATATGCATGCTCAAGGGAACCATAGAAACATGGTAATGTGATGTGGTTTTCTACCATGGATAAGACAGTAGAGTCAGCTATCACACACTTATATCATTTTATCATAATTTAGTMAAATTTTTTGTATAGTTTTTATACCAGTGTACAGTTAAGACTGACAGCCTAAAGGCAGAGCATAGTAACAGTTAAAATGCAATAGCGCAGCTTAGGAATTAAACAAGTACAAACACCACCTTTGAACAAATCCCAAGTCTAAGATTTTACGCAACTAGAGTTGTGCAAACAATCAAGAAAAATGCAATATTCCCAAAGAACCTTAAAGGCATTCAGTATGATTTATATCCATATAAAGATTGCTTTATTATTACGTGTAACTACCATAATGAAGTTTTCTTATTTTTTTTCCTTTTACTTCGCTCTTCATAAACCTTTCTGATTACATTTTACTTAGACTTATTCTAAACACCATACTCCAAAACACCTGCGATATTAGTTCTTACCTGTCTACTTACTGTTGATGCCATGTCAAGTCAGGAAAACGCATTTTTCCCAGTTTTCTTCTATTTTCAATGCAGCATCCAAATGGATATGAATTTGGAATACCTACCATTTTCTATCCTAGAAATCAATATCATATAGATATACAAAGAAAGCAAAAAAGGATAAGGGGACAAAGTTGGTACATATACTATTTTCCAAAGGCAGTCCTAAAGAGAGAGAAAAAAATTATTTGTACATGAAAAAGCTTTGAGTCTAAAGTCAAATAAATATTGTTGTTAAAAAAGCATCCCAAGATTGATAAAAGCTGTAAAGTATGAAGCTGCCATGGGACTCATCCTAATACAGTATGCGGGTTTACAGGAGTTTCTTACTTAAAAACAGTTTGCATCTTCAGGGATGAAGTGGATGCAGTCTCCTCTTCTGCCTCTGGGTGCCATGATTGGCCCAAATTAAACCTAAACTGCAGCTTGCTGTTGCTTTCTGCCTGATATATTCTTAAAATTTGGTGCGTGCTTTAGGAATTTATTTTTCCCTCAACTTTCCAACACTGGTACATGTTCCTTAAAGCATCATAACTGATGTTCAAGTATATAAAACTTTTTTGATTACTAGACAAATAGAACTATAGAGCTGTAAAAAGTTACATTATGAAGTATTGCAAAGCACTGAATTCAAAGAAATACCCCTTTCTTATGAGTCTCTTGCATCTCTTTAGCTAGAATTCACATCAAACKCCACTAGATTTGTACACATGGAGAGCAGGCATTGGCTTCCTTCATTTGTTGTTCTTTCATCTTGGATTTTTAAAATGCAACTGTGAGGCAAATGTCCAAAGAAAGCATCCATTTGGTATTAAAATAATAGGCATCTCCCCCCTTTTCCTATCGTGAGAATAAATAAAATCTATATGATACTTAAAGTTTTAATAACTTTTTAGGTTAAAATATAACCAAGGGCTATTTTCTTAAGATATAGAAAACAGCAAACTGTACAAATCATGAACTGCATCAACTCACACAGGGAGATGAAGTCCACCGAACTTTACCAACCAATACCAGTGCTGAGGTCCCTAACCATTCCCTGATACCCTTTATGTTCTTTAGGGCAAGCAATACAGACACTATATCGAGCCCTGCTATATCTTGCTGCTGACCTGCTCCCAACCTATGCCTCCTTCCAGCTACTTGGAAAAAAGAGTAAAATAAGATAGCACTGATAGCCAAATCAATCCACCCATCCCCAAATCTGCCTGCCACAATCCAGTTTGACATGTACAGTTTATAGATTGAACAGTCTRTAGTTATAGATATTCCTCATCCTGATGGTATATTACACCAATAGATTACAGGAGCCCCAGCCTGGCTTCTTGATGTATTAATGCAATGTGTTATGAGAGCACTAGCTCTTTAGTGATCTATGGTCACCATACATACCATAAGAGTGAAGTTCTTCAGTGATAGATAACTGTAACAAGGGCACCGGCCAGAAGAAACCAGTYGATCTGGTTAATTTATTAGAATACAAAGCAAATATACAATCAACATTATCAATACCRGACATGAAGAGCCCCCCTCTCTGTTGCAAGCTAGGAATGTAACTGGACATTTTCCTTCGTTCTGCAAGAGCAAAGCTTGGCCCATCAGCTATCTAATATCTTTTATTAKAACTCTAGGCAGAAGCTCTTCTGTTTGCATGCTCTCTCCTCCCCATCCCATAAGGAACATTTAAAACAAGACAGTTTGAGTTCCAAGTTGGTGAAAAACTTCTCAAGTTTTAAAAAAGGGCAGACAAAAAGTATCCTGATAACATGCATAGCTATAGGAAATAAGGTATTTTCTGAGCAAAGCTTCTTATTAAAATATCAGAACACAAGCAAATTAATCTTCTGAGCAGGTATGATATCAGCATGTATCACATGACTGTGATTTGGTCTTAACTTAAAACCATTACTGTTATTGGTAGAAACCAGAATATACAGAGCTTTTTTAAAACCTGAAGAGGCTCTAGATTGTCATGACTTCTCACTCAATATCTGCTGTGAATTTTCTTAATAGACAAAAAGCTTCAGCAGGAACATTTCATTTTGCTCTGAGCTACATGAAATACCTTTCTTATAAATATTGTAGATTTTTACAACATTGTAATTTTCTCAGTAAGTGCACTATAGGAAGGTCTCAAAGGCAATAGTGTACAAAACAGCCAACAATTTACACTTAATTAGAAAACTTGGTCATCATTACATAATTCACTTGCACTCTTTACAATGCCTCACATATATATATACACACATGATTCAAAAGCACTAGTCATGTTGGTTTCAGCCACATATAAAATAGTACATTTACAAAAGTAAACCACCCTTCTCTTCATATTTACAACTATAAAAATCTCAATGTGCTTTGTTATCTTCAAACACACTGGCAAAAGCCTTTACAGTGGAAGAAATTAAGCAAGACCACAGTGCAAGATATTAACTGAATGCAAATTCTAAAAAATATTTAAGTATTTTGGACGGCAGAGCTACAAGCCATTTTGCAACAAAATGTTAAGCTACATTGGCATTGAAAAAAGTTATGCAGGCTGCTAGGTTCAGCATCATTACCTCTCCCTGTATCCCCACCAAAGAGGAAAAAGCCAAGCAAAACAAGAACGTGCCACACTGAACAACAGCATTAATTCCAACWCCACTTTGAAAGCATATGAAGAAGAGTTGTCACCTCTTTTCACTGTAATCTACTCATGGAAAAGTGTTTTAAGCACCTGAAGTGTCCTTGAAGAGTGAGCTACTCAAAATGCTGCCTGTTTTCCCTGGCTTGGGGCTTTGCTCTGAGGAAGACACTCTAAGTGCAKCTCTTGATTTGCTCAGTACTACAATAAGCAAATCAAGCCTCCCAGACCCTGTATCGAGGGATAGCACCTCAAATTTGTTTTAATTCAMGCTGTTAACTTGTACGGGCTTTAGCAACCTTCTGTCATTGCCTCATTTTCCCACTTTCAAACAACGAAGAGGTTATTGCCATCGAGCCCTGTATCTGCAACWTGCACCCTCTAGTTATATCGTGTACTCTGCATCAGTGCAATTCTCTACAACCTCGCAGGCCTGCAGACTGCTCAGGAAGAGCCACTTTTGGCAGCTACCAACAGTACTGAAAGCGCTTTGAGCAGTGACTTTAACACCACACAACACGAACTACTTGGGGTCGAATTTAGGAGTGCTATCAGTGCCAGCTTCTAAACCCAGATATTTAGAAGGATTACATTAAAAAAATATTCTTCAAGTAACACTATAAAGAAATTTTAGTATCTCTTTTTTTCCCCCSTACAGAGAAGACAAACATTTCCTCAAAAAAAAGTTGACATATCAGGAAATTAATAACAGAACACTTTAAACACGCAGTAGCCCTACTAGATTATAAGGCAGGAGGAGTGGAGCAACAATATTAAAAAAAGTGTTATTCACATAGCCTACCTTTTCAGTGTCTAACGGGAAAAAAGTCTTCTCTAACTATATACAAAAACGTACATTACAGTCATCTTCTAAAAAGAATATCCTTCCCCTGCTTCCTTCCTTCTACTTCCCTTCCTCCTAACTTGAGTTCTTAGGTTAAAGGCCTGAGAGGCAACAAATGTCCTWAACAAGCATTTGCAGAATTTCTCATTTCCCCCTCCCCACAATAGTTTTTAATATCTCAGTTCACATCAACTTCAATAATTCTTTTACTTACTGTTTTAGATTGTTATATGCTACTCTGAAGYTGATACAAGATCTTTATTAAAAGAAATCATGTTCAAGTCTAATARCTTCTTAATAAACTTGACTTTTTCTTCATGAAATTCAGAACATATATCCTCACAAAGCCAAAGCAATAGGAGTGATAAATCTTACACCCACTGWATCCTACTGGGCAGAAGCTCCCCCGAAAGGGCAGGTGATGACTGCTTTTCATGCAGCTCTTTCAGAATTCCCTTCTGTTTCCTCACTGATTCACCTCCAGCTGTTTCATCCTCTTTTCCTCGAGTCCCAATAGCTCCACCACAAAGRGTCTGAGGTTTCAGCAACTGCTGTCCTTGTTCAAGCTCAAAATTCATAACAAGGGAATCAACCAGAGAATCCAACTCAGAGTTCATAAAAGGCATCTGGATAGGATTGTTTGCAGAAGGCAAGACAATTAAGTTGAAATAACTGTTAAAATAACCAGCTAATGTGCAAATCTTCTCTGCACAACTCCTGAAATGACTTGTATGTTGGTATGACCCTATATTAAAAAGAAACAAAGAATCAAATACAGTATTTTGCAAGAAAGACATCAAGCARTCCTCCTTGCCTTAGTGGCCTGCTTTAGGCTACAGCTTACTATGAAGATAGAAAATAATCCAGCTAAATACCTTGTAATGTAGAAGAAACTATTTGATAGACTTCAGCAAGGCACTGCTCCAATTCAAAACATTTTGTAGCAACACTCATGCTTTTCTTTATTTCCTGATACACACATTCCTCCTCTGGTAACTGAGATGCTCTTTCTTTCTGTGATTTAAAAAAAAGAAATTGCTTTAAGATACTCAAATAACAGAAGTGTTTAAACCTTAATATACTATCAGAGATTCAAGTCTAGCAAAACAGGTCAACACTGAAAGGCAAAAAGACAGACTACAARATATACAATAATCCTGAAGAAAGTGTGGCTTTAAAGGCCAGCAGAGCCATAAAATGTGAAGAGTTTTCACCCATAAATAGATTAAGTCCAGCTGCTGATTCAAAATGTCAACTATAGCCACAAACTACAGCAGTAGCTACTTTATCGTAATTATACTAGCATTATTGAATTTGAGGCTTTCAAATTAAAAATTCCATAATAAATACATTAAAACATGAAAATACCAGAGACACTGCGAATAACATGAAAATCTAGTTGTTTTGGATAGAAATATGGCCAAAAAACTATAGCATTCCAGCCAGAAAAGTGTTATAATAGGAAGTGCTATCATGTCAAGTGCTATCATGTGATTATAAGTATTTAAAGGGTAGTTTTAGCTGCTCCTTTTTCTTACATACACCTTTGAAAATTAAACCTCAGCCTTCAAAACATTCCACACTGAAACGCTTCTTACCTTCCTACAATAAGATATGTTATTTCCAAGGAATTTGGCTAAAGCCACAGCATCGTCCTTTATTCGATTTTGTATCTAAGAAAAAGACTTCCGGTTATAGTGCATAATTGATTCAAGACACCATAAATATTCATCAATATTTTAGAAGCATAGCAGTGATCACCAGCATAGTAACAAGGAAAGCATTCAAAAGCAAAAGCAATAAGAAATCTGAGCAGCCTRTAACAGCATGCAATTTCTTGTGTGTCAGCAAGGTTGGAGAAGGAAAAAAGTTAATTGGTAGAATATTTTTACCTATATAAGGAAGATTAAGTATCTTTTTCTCTCCTAAATACAACACTGATTTAAGCATTCTGAAAAAATAAGGGGACTAAAATGTTTTTGTATGAAAGCACTTGAACTACTTCATGTACTAAAACACCATAAAGCTATCCGGGGAGAAAAATTTTAAGTATGAATCTTTACTATGAGCAATTAAGAAGACCTCTTCTTAAAATTCCAGAAAGATTAGATTGAGGTCTTAACATAGATTTAAAAGCTTTACACATTGACTGCTGCAGTAGCTGTTCATATTATCATGAGTATAAAAGGTCATCGGACAAATTCATTAAGAAATAAGTACATTTGCTCTAATTAYGCTATGAAAATGTTATCAAGCAGCTGCTTAAATTAAAATAGCACTGCTGCTTAGCAACCTAGAAAGTATTTGAAAGTCAGTTCCAATACCAGTAAATAATACTAAAATGAGGACATTACAGAATAACATGCCTACTTGACTCATTCTGCCAGTTTTCATATGCTCTCTCTTTTTCACGGTTACTTCATCTGACTAAGGATCTAGGGAAACACAGGGAGATTTTGTACAAAGTGCCTTCTAAAAACACAGAAAAAAATGCTCCGAATAAAAGACACAGTGGTCAAATCTACGTATAGCAAAAAAACTCAGTGTAATAATCTCTGCAAGACTGCTGCCAACGCAGYGCCATCCATCCCAAATCCGTCAGCAATTTTATTCCCACTATCAACATKTCCAAATTGCTAGGAGATCAAAAGAAAAACAGAGGGCCTCTAAGAAAATACACCAATAATTTTAATACTCATTTTTGATCTCACCTCATTCTGTGAGTATTGTTCCCCTAGTTCTCTCTGTATCACTCTTGATTTTTCCTGTACTGCATCCAGAAGAGTGTCCAGGCCTAAGCCTACTCCATGGTAAATGGCAAGTAGAAACTCTTTCTAAAAGAAAGGTTCAAACATTCAAGTAATTGATGTGGCCTTGGAATAAAACAAATTTACTGTAATAGCTTAAATACAGTATTTCAAGAGCATTAAACACCCATCCAGTTTCATCATAAAATTTTCAATAGTTGTCTGACACTTGAGGTCAATGGAATGACAAATATTATGAAGCTCAAATGCTGTTACATGGAAATCCCTATACTTTCAAGCACACTAAACATGAATCTCAACATTAAAATTACTTCATATTTAAATTCTCTATCTTAGGATACACAAAGACAAAGAATAAGGCAACACGAAAGACTGAAAATTTAAAGTTCTTCTTTTTTCTCCTGAAACACAATTAGAAAGTAACGGTATTTGATAACTTTCTTTCACCTGTAGGCTGGTTGCTATAACGCTGTTCTCTTCAGAAGAAGAAATATCAGCTCTTCTGAGTACTGCCAAGTGTCCTATATATTTCATTGTTTGTCTTACTGTGTGGTTTACTTTGTTCCATGCTTCCATCACCATTGAGAATATATCTGAAGAACATCCCTGGAAGATAAAGACATTCATTTAGGCTAGAAAGCATCCATGGGCAAAAAGCACACATCTCCTTTCACCGAAAGGTATCTTCAACCATTTCCAGATTTGTATTCTTCCYGATTCCAGTGGCTCAACTATCACAAATAAAAAAGAAGCCAATACCTTGCAATCACGGAGAAAAAAATCTCATTATGCTACAGAATATTAAAAAAATATATATGAGCACAAGACTTTACCGTGAAAAATATTGCTGTGTTCTTTATAATGATAAAAATAGCAATACTCAAAAGATAATATAGAAAAGCAGTGTTTACCACTGCTTATTTATTTTCCTCTTTTTTCTTTTTAAGTTGGATGAGAAATTCTGCATACAACTGATATTCTTACCTGACATTTTAGAAAAACACTCAAAGTTGGGGAGGGGGAAAAAAATTGTTAGACTTTTTGGAAATTCTGGAAATACTCAGAGGAAGAAGCAGAGACAATTCAACTAATAATAGCTGTGAAAGGTCTAAAAAACATAYATAAAGGCATCACCTCCCTTCCCCGCAAAAAGCCAACACACACAGGGCTGTCACACTGAGAAGCCTAGATTATTGCCAAGGTCTGGGCACACAGTAGACCACACAGCTCTGCCGTGAGCCTATGAAAGGTCCAGTTTAGCTAGTTCAAAAACACCCTTCATTAATCATCTTGCCTATMAGACTATTTGAGACTGTGCATGCTCTTTGGTTTTGGAAAGTTTTTGGACAAAGGGGTAGCAACTCCCTAGACCCAATTCTCTTTTTCTATAATATGTATAAACACATGTACCTTACCTGCAAAAGTAACTGTAAATAACCTCCCAAGTTCTTGACTTCCTGTTTTAATTCTTCTTCCATTTTTATGGATTTGGAGCACTTTTGGACATTGTCAAGCCAAAGCTTGGTTAGGACCACAAGCTGGTCAAAAGCAGAGATAATTCTGATGCTATAGGACTGAGCAGCACGATCAAGAAAGAAAACTAAAAAGAGAAAAAAAGGTAAAGAAGGAGATCTCTTAGAAGCTCTACTCTGCAAATGAAAGTAGGTATTAATTCTTTAGATAGGCAAACACATGGCTTTCTCTGAAGAACAATAACTTAATATTTATCAAAAAACTTACTATTCTCTTGACAGTCTTCATCTTGCTGTTCATAGGCTTTTGAAATGGCAGATACTCCCGTGAAAATGGTAAACAAACAAGTTAGAAGGTTATCTGCTATGCTCTTTCCTCCTTCGTGATTCTGTTCCAGCAAGTCTAAAGCTGAAGTCACAGATTCTTTGCAAATTCCAGGAAGAAACAATTCAGAAGCACTTGGGCATATGCTGGATTTGTTCAGTGAGCCTGTATTGACATAGAGACAAAAATCTATAAGTTTCTTGACTGTRAGAGCAGAGAGACTTCTTTGTAATTATTATTTTATACTGCTTCTTCTACAATACTTAATTACTAAAATTAGCTTAAAAAATAGAATGCACCATTATCTGCATTCTAAACTTGAACATATGGCAAAAACTTGAACATATATGCAAAATTTGCATATTGCAAACTTGAACATATTGCAAAGTAAGCGTTTTCCATGCTGTTTATAAACCTACCTTAAAGTGCATATATTTCTCAGTATATATGAGGTTTTAAGTTTCTCAAGGTAAAATTAAAAACATGCTATATAGGAAAGTACCTGATATATTCTGGATCGAGTGTAATTTTACATCAGACAAACATCCAGAAATTCTCCTGTTCTTCATGAAACTTCTGCTTCTAAGAAAGGATAAAGACACAAAAAACTTATTTGAAAAGATTATCACTTACCCTACACCCACTTCCATCCACCAAAGGTTCAGTCAAAGTTAACAGACATCAGACTATAGCCCACCTATCTTTAATCCACTGAAGCTAGTAAACACAGAACCAAGATGAGAGTGAAAGTAAGCCAACACAGAATGGGGTCCTGCTTACTTCCCTCAGGTTCCTGCTCATCAATGCTGCCCAAAATGAATAATTGCAGCTTCAAGGCAGCAACCAGTGAAGACTGGACAAATTTGCTCCTGTTTGTTTCCATTTCTTCCGTCTTGGCTACAGCTCCAAAAAAAAAAAAAAAAAAAAAAACCACACGCACACACACAAGCAGACTCTGACCCTGATAAGCAACTTTAGCCATTACACAAGTGTGAAGTCTCCAAAATGACATCTCTTACTCTGCACTGATGATATCTAGATACATGGCTTAGAAAACCTTACACATGCTTTAACCAAATATGCTTTGTTCCCATCACTTCTCTACGAGAAGACTGAAYAAACAGAAGCACTACTAGCAATTAAAATACATTTCTGTGCTCTCATTTCCCATAAATTTAATCTGTAATTAGACATTGTTTTTTAAAAATATTAATATAGTCATTAAAGTTCTTATAGGAAGTTATTCTTGCACATAAGTCATGGCAATCAATTACCTAAAAAAGGCCCTTTTTAAATTTTTCCCTGTCATATTCAAGTGTTGTCTGATACTTAGATTGCTTAAAATAATCACCACTAAATATTTAGCAAGCTTTTACATATATATTATCTTATTCCTCCACCTTTAATCTTGCAGGCAATCGAGTAAGGTTAAAATCCATGAGTACACATTGCTGAGCATCCTGACTGCCTATCCCCTTGCCACTGCACTCTGTATTTAAAAACAAAAGCATCCGTGTGGCATCAATTTGGTTGGAAATRTGGTGGCTTTTTCTTTCCTCCTCCTGTCAAGCGGTTTTCACCTTTTTTCCTCCCCACAATTTCACCAGGTGACAGCACACAGGGGAATTTCCCCATAATTTTTAATTGCCTCCAACCAGCTGCCAATTGGTTATATGCATAAATTTCTGTGAAAGTAAGCAGCCATACACTACGTATATGCAGCACCTGATCTTGGAGACACTGCTATTGAACCTGCCAAATTAGTTCATCGGCAGCCATCCAGTTTTTATTGGCAATACTACACTGACCACATAAAAAAATTTAAGAATCATATGCTTGAAGCCAGTAAACCAAAACAAAATAATCCAGTTAGTCCAACATCCTCTCATCACAAGTATAAATTTTCCCTTAAGTTCAAGATCATAAAAAGGWAAAACAAGAATCAATAAGGATAAAGTGAAAGACTGCAAAACCTATTTAGATGATTACACAAAAGTTAGTAAACTTTACTTGGTTTTAAGCATAAGTAAAGGAAGGAGCTACACAAACACTACCTTCTCCTGGAAAAAGTAGAAACAGAAGCAGCTGAAAGGTCAGGTTCCCACTCATCAGTAGGGTCACAAAATACATCAGCAGCTTTATTACCATCATTATTCTGAAAACCAAAGATTAAGAAATTAACAGAGGTATAGCAAAGGATACAACACAGGCATGAAGAAAACAGATTCCAACAGTGGTAGCAGTCCTGTTTTTGTTAAGCTTAATCTAGATCACTGCCTGCTAACTTGAGCTATGAGGATAAGTTTTATGCCATATTTTTCCCTGTGAAGTAGAACAGTTTCCATAACCATCAAGATCTTAACAGGACTTATAAATCATATATACCTCTGCCACTTGGTATAGYTACATATTACAAAGTAGTATCATAAAGAAATGCTTCCTCTTTCCTCCCCTGCTTTTTTTTCCTTTGATAGTTTTGATAGGGGGTAGGGATGATGGGAAGTTTATTTCAAATACATAGTCAATGATTTGTTTTCCCCAAACAATCAAGTAAAATAGGAACATGTCATTATATAAAGAGATAGGGGGTGGGGGGAGAATCACTTCCAAAACAGTTTTATATAATTCCCCTTAGAAAACTTCAGAAACCCAACAACTGGAATCTCTCCATTTACAAACTTCAGATATGTTATTTACTTTAGAACCTGATTCACCTGGAGAAATGGGAAGTATCTCAGTAGTTGTTTATGTATTTGAATCATTTTTCTACTAGTTTTTCAATGCTGTTTCAAAGCTATGTGTAGCAGATACTGGGACGACCAGAACTTAAATAACCAGGAAATTCATATACTGAGTATACATATAYTGAAGCACAGGATAAATTTATACAAACTTACACAAATATTTTGTGTATGCATGTATATATGTCATATGATATCCTATTTACAAATGATACATATTTTCTTTGAAAAGCAACCCACCGCCTTTTAGTTATAGATAAGAAATCCTCCTGATTTTCCCTCTATACTTATCAAAATATCTTTTGAATACATTTGACTATCAAAATATCATAGTATTTATTACTGTTAGTGTGTGTTTTTAACTTGGTTCTTACAGACCTCATAAAGTTCTTTCAATGCTGCTAGTTTGCATTCAAATTTCTCCAGACTCCAGAAGGTCGCAATTCCCAATTTGACATTACGAACCTGTACCTGAACAGAAGTTGCTGTTCCTGTTTTATCATCCATTTTGTCATGCCTAAAAATGATAAGAGACATTCATAACACACACAAAAAGKAGTAAATAGCATATCTGGGAGGAAACATGCTGAGGCTAAGAACTTGCATTATTGCAAGCACAGTAATTGCTTAGGACCTCATTTTCACAAAGCCATAAACATTAGCATGTCTGTTAAAATGAAAAGCTCTCTGCACATCCCCAAGTCTTCCACACCCCACACCTCAATATACCTAATTAAGTAACTGTGACACTCACCTGCAGAAAACAGTGTTTTTCCCCAACTCTTTGCTAATGGTATTGGCCTCCTTGATCATCATTGATAGCTTCAGTGAATTCCAGTTAAGTGGAACTGACACAGAATATGGCAAACAATAATTTAGCAGTTCAAACATAACATGATGCAATGACATAAGAGTTAGAGATCTCTAAGTATRTAGTCAGTAACAGTTCCCTGGATTCCAAAGACATTCAAAAATGACCCTCCCATCCACATTAATCCCTGAAACAAAAGCTCCACACATGACAAACTAACAGATCTTTCACACAACCACTCACAAAGTACTTTTCATTCAGAATCACCAGAGAAGCATCAGAAGAAAATAAATTGACTCCAAACTCCTATACCCCAGCCCAATGAGCAAAAAGAAACCTGCATTGCCCTTGTGACATTAGGACATACTAGTTGTAGCCTTTTTCCCACTTCCACGATTCTTTTGAAGTGTTTGTATTTCTTCAGCTATCTTCTGTTTTTCTGCTTCCAGAGCTTCAAGTATCTTTGCGTGACGAATTGTATGATCTGCTAGAGCCTAAAAACAGAAAAGCAAAGACAACCCCCACAATACCCTTAACAGTGTTTATTCAAGCAAAAAGTTTGTTTGTTTGGAATTTATTTTAAAGGGATTTTATAACACAAATCAATTTATCTTTTCTTCTTGGAAGAAAACTTACCTACCACATGAAGCCCTTTAAGCTTTGACTAKTTTCTTGTTCTACTTAGATGTATGAACATTATTTAGAAACATCAGAATAATGAAAGAAACTAGCATTTCAATCATTAASTTAATGTCTGGCCTCAACTTCTAGCACAAGAAAAGGTCACTAAAGTTGGGTGCATCAGCAAAATGGTCCACATTAGGTAAGAAATCACACAGCCGGCTCCAGTTTCTCCCCCAAGTTAACAAAATAGTCTAAAAGGTAATTAAGATATCTRTGTGTTTATATCAAATCATTTAGAAGAAAATTTTCTCACTATATGGAGTTAATTTGGATAAARTGCCATGATTTAAAAAGCATGTCTAATCAGTTACAGAAAAGCTTAAGTTACCTGCTTAGTAGCTATTGTCTCCATTTCCAGACGCTTCCTGTTGAAGTTGACTTCTAGCTCAAGATTTTGCTTTGCTTTTTCTAACTCTTGTATTTTGTTGGCAGCCTTTTGATTATCCAGTTCTTGCATTTGCTTCTTATAGGATTCTTCTTTCTAATAAAGAAAGGACAGATSAGAGGGTGCTTACCATTTTCATCTTTCAAGCCAGATAAAGCTTATTTTCACTTCAACATACAGAAAATGTGAGCTCTGTGTACTATCTGCGTACTATCAGCAATAAAAGACTCTTGCTTAGTTTACAAACTAAGCAGGTCTTGGGCACCTATAGCACACATTTAGGAAATAAGCTCCTCARTCTTTTTTATTACATATAATTCTGATATCTGCTTTTAGCTTCTTGTGTTAGAAAGGCTGACAAAAAAAGATCTTTAATGCTATTTCGTATAGTKACACAACAACAGCTCACCAGTTCAGCTTCTAGGGATTTTATTTTGCTTTCATAAACTTCTTTTTGTGAGGTCAGCTCTTGTTGTGCCATCTCTTTTGCAATTTGGATACCTTGCATCATTTCTTCTTTGGCTTTGAGCCGTGCCTCTTCAATTTCCGATTCAAGCCTACAAGTGATAGATTTTGTACATTTAGAACACTGGCTTGAAGCTCTCAGACTGTATAAAGGCTAAAAATATGATATTCTTTATCACTTAAGGAGGTGAAATATCCAAGAATAACCAATTTTAATAATGAAATTACTTTAAGTCTTCTATTCTTCATTGGAGTGTTTTTTGTTTCATAGGGAAAATATGGACACTGAAAGAAACACAGCATTTTCAACTATATTTCATTTTCAGATATTAGTCATCTTCCACAACATTAAGAACTCTAATAGAAACTAACGCACAGGAAATCAGTTGAAAGACCATATTCCAAATCAATAAAGCTTGTATATTAATAATTACTAGAAATGGGACAAACATAGGAAAAACAATGCAGTGTCACTAATTCCTCGGTCAAAGAAAAACAAGGTTCTTATTTTATTACCAGGCTTGTTTCTCAATCTTAAAACATAACTTTTGATGACTTCCTATCTACTGAAGAGTCAAAACAAATATACAAAAAAAACCACCACAAAAWAAACCAACAAAACCACACAATTGTCACTGAAAGGAAACACTGCACTTAGTTCTCGTTTTTTTAACATTATTTTCTAGATTCTTGAGAAGACTGGTTTGTGGTCACCACCTCTTATACTTGGCTGAAATGCATGTTTAGATAATGGGCTAGTAACAACCACGCTACTTTCCAACCTAAGTTATTTGTTACTTTATTATTTCTTGAACCAAATGCTGCACTAACAACTGAACTGGGTTTTAGAACAAAAAGATATAATACTCACTGTGTTCTTTGTGCAACAAGAAGCTCATTTCTTGCAAATTCAAAGTCTTTTGGGCCATCACATASAAGTGTTGAGCCACAGGATGGCCTAACTTTCTGAACCTCTGTTGGATGATTAAACCTGAAATAATGGTCTCCCCCAAGGATCACTCGATCACCCTGCAAGAAAGAAGATAGAAAATTGTCTATAACTTTAGGCTTACAGCTAAAGGTAACAGTGAATAAAACATAAGGGAGTAACTGAGAAGAAATCAAGAGAAAGATATTTCAAAATCACAGCATCTTCTAAAAAGATGCTATCAGAAAATTTTAATATTACTTACATGACCAAGTAATTAAAAATAACTTACATGATGTAGAACTGTTGGGTCTGAAATATGTTTCCCATTAACATACGTCTTTGCTTCTCTCAGTGGGATAATACTCACTTGGCCATYGGTGTTTTTTATAATACTGAAAGCAAGAAACATTTGTGAGAGTTGATTTTATCTATCTGCAAGTTCTCAAACAAAAATTCATGCTTCAAATAGTGAATTCTTATTTTTGCAATTGCCAATTATCTTCATGCAATGCTACACTAAATTCACAATTGACAAGCAACATTTTGAAAGAGCTGATCTGTACCTAAAACATTCATTATTTTGAAAAAAAAGGATTATAATCTGCTGTGACCATTTCTGTAGCAGTGCTCCTTACATCTACCTCCATAGTTTCACTAACAGACTAGTTAAATCTCTTTTCACCATTCYGTCTTGAATCAATTACAGGAAACACACTCAATGAATTTCTGCAATTTGACCAAATTGCTCACTACTTAAAAAAAATACTTATTCAGAAGAGGCACCAGATACTTTATACATAACTGCACACAAAAATCATAATGGATTTATGAATAGTCTTTTTTCATACATATGAGTATGTATAAGAAAACAAGATCTGGAAAGAGGTTTGTCTTGGTCCAAAAGTACTGGAATTTACTATATTTATAACCAAGGGGCAGGGTATCTAGTATTTGGGAGAGAAGATGGAGAGAAAACAGATGCTTGTGTTCACAATAACTACTGTTTCCAAGGGTAGTAACAACCCAGAACTGCTTAAAACAAAAGCTTTCTATTGACATCAGTTCCTTTAGCTGTGACTAGAGATCATTTGTTTGACGTAACATAACCTACCATTTTTCAAGTGAAAGTTTCATATAAAATGAGGAAAGGCAAGTTAATGGAATTTCAAAAATTAACATTAAATATTTAGACCCATTTCAACAATTCACCAAATTAAATTCCTATGTAAATTTGATAAACCTCGAAAGATGAAAAATGCATTCTCTAAGATGATAAACTGTCCCTTCTATACAAGTTCATAATTAAGAATGATACATGCTATTGTAATGTTGGTTTGCTTTTTTTTTTTTTAAAAACAGATCACAGCAACAAGGACAAACACTGGAAATGTCTGTCAGCTCAGAAATTGTGAAGGTATTTCACAATTACATCTTTACATTGAAAAGAGTTCTCAGACACATTGTTAAGACTAGCTCCTTCTCAAGTATAAGTAGAAAGCATCACTATTATCAAAATCGATTAAGACAGCTTGGTTTTCAGATTTCTAGTGGAAAATAGAAATCTTACTTCAACACTGAACTACACAGAAGTTATTCTCAAAAAATAGTTAACTTGATTAAAATGCCAGAAGAGTGATTCTGAAAACAAGGATAAGGGGCAGAAGAAATATTTCCTACTGTTGGGTAGGTATAAAAAGGAGCAGCTTTGAAGAATGCTATGTACCAGTGGTCAGCAGCAATTAGTGCTCCAGAAAGCTGGATATCATGTCTTGAATTTAGTGTATGCTTGCCAACTGTTGTTTCTCCTTCCTTGATCATATACAAGAGCATCTCGGAAAGCTGGGGATCTTCATTGAGGTTGACAAGGTTGGGTAAACGGTTGTCCATTTTGAATGCAATTCCTGCTTTCTGGAGAAAAGAGAAGGCAGTGTTAAAAAAAACCCCACACCTGCAGTCAAGAACTTATTTAAAATTTTGTATAAAGTCAAAATTAACAGTCAGTTTAGAGAACAGTATTACAGAAATCAAATGCAGAAATATCCTAGCTGTTCTGCTAACACTGCTCACGCTATGTATTTTCCATACAATCTTCTGTTGAAAGTGGAAAAAAACGTACCTGTAACTCTTTTGTTTCCTCTAATTTCCTTTTTTCTGCTTGTTCAAGCTTTTCTCTCCAGGCCCTTAGTATATTAGGGAGAAAATGATTCAACACAACATATTAGGAAAAAAAAAAATCAGCATATAACATTACCATTAGTTAGGCCAAAAGATATTAAGGACTGCCTCACCTTTGCATTTCTGCCATGTCCCTTTCCTGTTGGTGCAGTTTTACCCTCAGAGAAGTTATTTCTTGCAAATAACGTCTGTACTTTTCAGGGTCAGTATTCTGAGCACTTTTCTGAGCTGCCTTCAGTTTTTCAATTTCAGCTTTTAGTTCTATAGAGATACACACAGTATATACACAAATGTAGACAAAATACAAGCTAGACATGACAGTAAGATTCTGGAACATTCATCCAGTTTTTAAGGAAAAGCAAAATACCTTCCCCTATTCAAAGGTCTTGAAATATCTTAAATTTAGCAAGATGCTCACAGAGAAGGATTGCATTAAAATAATATATATACACATATATCTTAGGTTGTTTAATGCTGAAATGCACATGACAAGTAGAGGGGATTTTTTTTTTTTTTGTAATTACAGAACCTGAAATTGGATTAAGAAGTGAACAAAACACTCAAAAGCGCTTTTATTCATTCTGATCTGACTAAATTCAAGTTCTGTTCTTACAACAAAATTTCATGAGCAGGATTCTTCTCCAGTRCAGGCCAACATGTTTTATGCTTTCACATTTATAAGATTTTACATTTGATTACTTATACAAGTGTATTGCAGAGGCACCTCAAAGTATCATTTATAAAAAGCATATTAAGTTAATGAAGAGTAATAAAAGGAAAGAAAAGGAAGTTTGTAGTTTAAAAGACTTGACTAGAAACACATTAACAGTGAAGAAACTACAAGCGCATGATCAGCTGATACAAGAGATTATTGGTAATAAAAAGTCTTAAGGCAAGTTAGAAACACAAAGAAAAAAAGAAATAACAAGTCTTCATGGGTCAGCCTTACCTCTGATTAATTTGGCATTCACATCTTCATTTACTCTAGCGATGTTGACTATGGAACAAGCTTGTTTTGCATAGCGAAGAGTGCTGAGTGTTTCTTCTATACTGCTGGCAGCTGGACTGACTGTGGCAATCATCGCAGTCTGGGAATTTCCACCAAGACTTTCCTTTAACAACCTTTGTTTGACATGAAACTGGAAATTATTTCCCTTCCCAGTATGGAGAGCAAAAGACTTTTAAATCCAAGTAAACATCCAACATTTTTTATTTGAAACCAGTTTTAGCTGAAGTCCAAACCAAGGTCCTGTTTGTTCTTTACCTGATGGAAGAAGCTCGTTTCTTCCGTGCGTAGGTAACTTTGAAATACAAGTTTTTGATTTCTAAGAAAAAAGAACACTTGTTCTTTGTGCAAAAACATCAGATTTCCTCCAACAACTCCTCTTTTTGAGGTTTTGTCTTTACCTGCATGTCAACCACTATTGAATTAGCAATGTTACGAAAAAGAGTTTTTGTGCCAGGCTCCATCACCTAAAAGCCTCTGCCTCATTTCACATCAGCTTAACCACTTCCTAGCAAGCCTGTCACTGGTAAACAGCAGTGTGAAACTGATAAAATAAGTAATAATTGAAGAATATACTTTCTTACCATTAAAGATTTAAAAAGATGTTAGAATTCAAGAGATGCTAGAAGAGACATAGAATCTCTTCTATAGTAAAAAGACAAGGAACAGCAGCAAAGTGAGAATATTATCAGAAAAGAAAAATACAGAAACACATTTCTTAGTACAGTAGAGGAAAACAGGTTGCGAGTGCAATAGCTCCCTAATTAGAGATTTAGTTTTTCTATCCACCCTGCTCTTATCAACCATTTCCGCAATACATGTGGTAAAGGAAGGGATACTTCCTGAACAGAAGTGGAACTCTCAGTCAGATATGATCTGTACTCCTATATAAGGAATTTGGAGATGTACATACCATGTAAGGACAGACTCCCGGTAAGGAATGAATGTTTTCTTTCCATTTTGAGACTGCTCAGAGAGTGCAGAAATGACCTTTCCAAGCGTGAGCAGCGACTTGTTAATACTCACACCTTCCTACATGAAACAAAAAGCTGTAAATTTAATTGTATTTTCTTGTGTCATACTAGTAACTACAGTCTTGACATAATGGTGCTTATTCAGCAATACAGACCCACCATATTAAATATTGCTACTGATTTAAACAAATTGCAACAGTATCCCAAACGATCTTTGCTCAGGAAAGCAGCCTATATTATACAAGAAGCAGTTCTAAGAACTGGAGACCTTTTTACAAAGGCAACTTGAAAGTCTCTTGTTGGAAATTCAACTTTAAGACAAAAAGTCAAGAAAAGAGGTAAGTTCCAAATCCACACAACATATGAATCATGAATTCTGGCAGTCAGCTACTCATTAGTAGTTTTTCCTCATTTCTTTGAGAGGATCCTAAGGCCTACATAGCATAGGGAACACTGGCTGCCTAAGCAATGTTTGACCTGCCATATCACACCATCAAAATAGCTTGTCAGAGTCATTTGTCTCCAGTATTGATGGTTACAAGTGCTTCTATGATGCTTGTTTTTCCAAGAAAGTTTTTCGGAAGTGAGGATGCCTTGGAGTAGAATTTAGGGATGATCTCCCGAGCTTCCCGCCCATCCCATCCCAAATGTCCAGCCCCAATTTACCTTCAGCCTTTCTCCAACAGTTTGAGTTGCCGAGCAGCGTTCACTACCAGCTAGATCTATAAGGTTTATGTGACTGGTAATCCTGCGGTCACATTGCTCTTCATCTGCAGATTCTGCCTGCAAGAGAGGAGATCACTGCAGTCAAGCCAAAATAAAAGGAAGAGAATAAGCAGAAGTCTAACAAGTTGTTTGTAAAGAGAGACACCTTCATTGACTTTCTACAAGATATCTTAATGCAAATTAAGCCCCCCAACACACACAGTCTACTCAAGTTCAACTACTGCCTCTGTCTAGTACCCATAGAAATTATGACTTAAATGACTAAAGAGCAGGTAAACATAGAGTAGGAAAAGCCTCACGACTAGCTGTCATGGAAAAAATAAGTAATCCAGTGGTAAGAAAGGTGAGAGGAAGGAAGAAGGAAAAAAGATTCTAGGTCTAGACAAAAACCTGAAAGGTATYTGAGAAAGGAAGAAATTGACAGTTTGTAGACCTCTGAGGAATTCTACCTATTTTACTTCTGTTTAGGGGCTGATCTCCCTAGGKTAGGCTCTGTCTCTTACAAAGCTGTGAAATGAGGTGATGTGGATCATGGAAATACGTGASCAAGAAAAGTATCCAGAGGCAAGGGGAAGGAGAAGAGGAAAAAAACAAACAAAAAAACCCCAAAACACCCACACCAAACCACGCTTCCTGAATGCTGCTTAACATGAGCAGAAAGCATCCATGGCATCTTCCAGCACAGTGGCACTGTCATGTYGCCTGCAGGAACTCAAAGACTTCTAGTCTTCTAGTTTGGTCCCTATTTTGCTTCCAGATACATCTCAAAATAAAAAGAYACTCAGAACCTTGACACTACTCCTAGGTGCACCAGGCTAGACATTCTCATCATTTCTCCACTAGCGCACCTGGGCACTAACGTCTGCTCTTCAAAGCACRCAAAATACAAGATAGGTTAAAGACTGTGCATTTAAAAACACCATTTCACAAAGCAAAACTTATTTTGCATTCACTCCCAACAAATTTCYGGGCAACACGCAAACCAGAATTTTCCACTAACACATCTGAACAGGTAATTAAAAATAAAACATTAAGCAATACTTTTGTTTGTGTCATGACAAGGGTGAAGACTGAATGAGACCTAGAGCTCTTGTCATTCATTCCCGTAGCAGCTGTTGCTCTCTGTTTATTTCCTARCTCAAGCCAACTCTGTAAGAAAGAAGAGTTGAAATATAAAATAAAAATTAAAAAAGTATTGGTAAATAAAGTTAATAACAAAAGATGACTATATAAGACTGAAATTTAAATTCAAGGTGATTATATGGAAAGTGTGACACTTGTCTGAATCTAGAAAGCTCAAAATTCCTTATTACCTTTCATAAACAGTGAAAATATTATGGAATCCTGGTCAAGCTATAAGTTATTTTCTTCCTATCCATAGATTTTAGTTTTCAGTAGAAAAGGAACAGGAAATATTTGCATTCACTTTTAGTAACAAAGAAAGTCTTACCTGGATATCAGAATAAGAACTGACAACATTCCTAGGGGGAAGGAAAAAAATGGGGTTCAAACTAATTATTTCATTTTTGTAGCATTYCCTCCTGCTCAAGTTTTTATCTGTAACTTAGGAAATATTTCAAAATACAAATGCAGCATGAAAGTCTTGTCAAATTTTGACAAGACTTCCACACATATTTGTTTCACTGAGGTCAAATGGAAATATAGCAAGTTAGACAGAAATGCAAGTTTTTGTAGAAGTACAGMTCTCATCTTGCCAAATTTATTGGCAGATATACAAGCCTGCCCAGAGCTTCAGTATAATAATTAAAGCATTTCAGAGTTAAGCCAATGTGTTTATTAAAAGAATAATTAAGACTTACACAGTCAGGTCTTCCACATATGGTCCTAACACTGGGTGTTCTCTTACACGRAGCTGGTAAGAATAATTTTAGAAAGGGAATTCATTACTATTGAATGTAGCAATCAGGAATTTCTTAATTAAGATTTTTTCCAGTATGAAGTTTWTCACTAATAATATTCAGAATCAGCAAATTGTTTCATGAATAATTTTCATGAAAATAACATTTTTTTTTAACAGTTGCATGAGAAGTAACAGTAGACTGCACCAGACRATTGCTTGCAGAGCTAACCCTGGAAGAATAATTAGATGAAACAAAAAAACTGTAATATATTAAACATGAGATTTACATAATTTGCTGCCACAACATGAAATATTTTAGAGCAATTTAAATCAATTTTAGGGCCGAGTTCAAAAGAAGATTAGCTTAAAAATCACTGAAAAATACTAACATACTTGTGCTGTAATCAAGCCAGTAGGGTTTTTTTTTTCCCCTCTGTACAACTGGTCCAGAGAACTCTAATTTCAGCAACAAGTTACACACAGTCTATTTGGCAATAACAAAATATTTATCTCAAATTAAGCATTTTAATATAGAAACAAAGAACTTTTTCCTCTTTGCACTAAAGACAAAGACATTTTTCTTCTGTTATTACAGATACATGCATATATGCCCTGTTGACTGCGAAAGTAAACAAGCATCACAGCAGGCAAAAAGGAAAAAAACACATATTTTCAGGCAGCATATGAACACTAAATAAATTTCTACATAAATTTAGGAGAAAAACAGACATTTGTTACAGCAATGGTAGCCTCTTRATGCTGACAATTCACAAGAACATAGCTCAGTTATATGGCACAAAAAAAGCTTGATGGAATCCAGAATCTTTCTTCGATAAATAATATCCTGTTATTAGTGTCTTTTTATAAAGGCTGATCACACCTTTTCATTTCATAGATAAGGAAAGATGTGAACAACAGCATTGAGGACCAATCTACTTGCCTTGTTTCTATTTCAGCAAAACTTATGGTTTAGTGATTAAGTAGAAAACATTTTGCTTGAAGTTACATAGTTTTTTTTTAATTCAACTCCAGTAATTCACAACACTCTGAAGTACTTAGATAAGAAAGCACTGATCACTTATTTCATGCCTTTTTGTTTAAGGGWACAGATTTCACTATTTGGAGAGAGCAAATGAGTATGCACATTTATTTCTGTGAGCAACTTACAGGGTGTTTCTTCTGTCCACTTCCAGCTTTAAATCCAAGCAAGTCATGAATTTTCTCATTGTAAACTTCAAAATAGCTCATTTCAAGCTGAAAYAAAATCTTAAGAAAAACAAAAATAAAGATTTTATTCTCATATCACATACTCTGCAAAAGTTTTATAACTTGTTCCATAACCAGATATAAATTACCAGTTACTACTATTCAGTRTCACAAGTTGTTATACTGAAGTGATCTATTTTTCTATTAGAAAATACTCCTTTAACTACTGTTCACAGAAATCTTAGAAGTACTGAACAACCAACTTTCATGAAAATGTTTTTTCCTTTRAATACTCATAASGCTTTTGAAAGAATCTATTTRTAAATAGAATTTGGCTTATAGAGSAGGAAGACTGCAGCAAAAACAAGTCAGAAATACATACAAGATTCAAGAAGATTTGTAGCAACAGCATCACTCACTATGCATAARCAAAGAACAAACTTGCACCAGACAGTTTTGCATTTATTAAAAGTCTCACTCTCTAGCAAAATTCAGTTAAACAATAGTACTCAAGTTTCTAACTGTCTGTTAAACTACCGAGAGGTTAAAATATTATGGAGCTTATTGGTATTATTATTCARAGACCATGAGTTCATGCATAAAGTGTTAAAGAAACTTGAAATTAAAAAAAACTTGCCTGCATAAACTTAACTGACCCTTCATCTACTTTACAGTCTTTTATCAAACAYCTATTGAGTCATTAGAAATATACATCTACAATCTAAAATACACCTCTGCTGACCTGAGTCAGTCCCTGCAAAATACATGTAAAATACAAGTTTAAAAATAACTTTAAACATGCTTTAAATTGGATATTCCTTATCCAAGTAATAAAAGTTTTCCTAACGCTTTTACCTGTTTTAAAAACATTCAGGGTTTCTAACCAAGTATAAGTTTGTGTTCGTACCACAGACAGCTTTAGCCTGTTCACATCTCAAGTGTTACACTGTAGTTGAGCTGGTTTCTCAGAAGGAATTCTTTACTAGACACTCAAACATAGAAAAATACCTTAGCAGTCTGCTAGACAAAGAAAGTATATCYGACACGTGCCACAAAAACAAGCAAAATCCACAAAAACCACACACACCATTACTCCACATGTACCTATATTCACACTTTAGGCCTTTTCTTTTTACTACAGAAGAAGGCAAGTAATTTTATATGTGCATAGGTAGCATGTTCTTTTGAAGTGCTTATTTACCAAGTCACTTTCTGGGTCTTACACATGGGTTYGCAAAAAATTGTGCAGCTGCTTGAGCAGCTCTAAGGACACTCTTACTGTGTTTCCACAGGCAAGACAACATTATCTGAACTCTTGCCTTGCATTCAAGTCAAGGGTGGATTCTTCAGTCTGGCTAATTGCCTGCTAACATTTCAGCAGGTTTTTTTCCTAGACGAATGCAGTTGCTCACAGAACCACTAAGCTTGAAAAGACCTTAAAAAACCACACCGCTCATTGCTACACTAATTCAAACAGGCAGGTCACGGCCAACATAAATCTGTCCATATTGCTCATGGAAAACACACATTAATTCTGCCAAAAGCACCAAAGCAACCTATGCTAGTGACCAGCAGCCTTATTGCAAGCTAGGCACAAATTCCTATTCTTCATACAATTACACAATGCACCCAGAATCATATAATGCATCCAGAAATTGCTTATGCAAGCAGACTGTAAACAGCTTCAAGAAGCAGTGAAGCTTCAACAGCTTCACTGTACAACTACCAGTAATGTGACCGTGACAGTGATGGCAGAAGATATATTTTGAATTGTGGAATATTTACATTATCATGTATCCATAGTAGTAATAACAAAAGCATTAAAAAAGTTCAAAATAGATACAATTATGAAATTTGATTCGCAACATAGACAGAGATATACAAAATACATACACCTTYAAATTTTATTTGCCTCCAGTTATATTTTTCTAAATTTATCGTTACCACAGAAAACTCAATGTAAACCTTTAAAACACTCTGAAAAAGATTACAGCCCTATCCTTTTAAATTCACAAGCTGAAGCTGTAGAAAGATGCTCAAACCATAGCATAGTTAAAGTAAACATTCCTTCTGCTCCCTGGAGATTACTCTTCCTCCCTAGGGTTAGGGCTTTAAAAAAAGATCTATTTTCTGAATAGAAAAGGAAACAAAGTCTAAAACTCAGCCTTAAATTCCGATAATCAGATTGTATCTTTTAAATTTCAGTAAGAATATTATTATTATTAATACTGAATAKCAGTAGTATTACTGAAGTGGTAAGATTACTACTAGTAAGAATTGCATTTCATATTGATACATAACCATGCTTAAAGATTAACTTTGCTTTTATGTTCTAAAAAGAATGTGGCACCTACTAGGATTTCTTTTTACCTTTTAGTATCTCCTATCTTKTAAGACACTAAGATAAAAGTTATCTTAATCTTATATAGAAAATAATGTCCAACTCATCACATATCAAAAGTTTCACACTCATGCTTTTTCTCTCACTAAGGATTCAGAACACAAATTTGACTATACAGAGAGCACTGTTAATTGGATCCACTAGTAAAAACAAGATTTAAATCAGAATATAGGCATTAATAAGTAGATCAGGGCAAAAATAGGTTTTGATATGTTTCATTCTTCAATTATACACTGATCTCCTCATAACTCGATATAAACACAAAAGCATATATATTTTATTACYTGTTGCTTGTCCATTTGTGCTACTCGAGTGAAAAGATCTTCACAAAATCTTGGAATTATTCCTCGATCTTCCTCAAATCCCATCATTCTGTAGTTACAAAAAAAKATATTTTATATAGACACATTCTATTTTCCAACACTTTATACCAATTACTCTAATTGCATYAATTCTGTAGTAAGAGAAAGGATGCATAATTAAAGTAATTAGCTACAGAAATAAATCTGATCTAGCTTGGTCATCAAGTGGGGGCCTGGGCCAGATGAAGCCGAGACCCTTTCTAATATATTTGATCAATGAAGTGAAGTAAAAATCGAAGTGAACTAGAAAAAATAGAACAAATGAAGATTAATTAAATAGTAAGCCTACAGATGTTTGATATCCTACATGCACGTATTTTATATTCTTTGCACCCTGCTAGTGTAGTAACCCAAGTTCTTCTCTACTTTCAGCAGAGCTGTGTCCCATCTCTAGCTCTGCCRCTACAGAAAGATATCAGTAAATTGGTCTAATTCAATTACAGCAGTTGAATCTCATCACACAGGTGTCAGCAGAAGTYTGTAGTGAAGACCTGGCTTAAGGCACAGTTAATGACACCGATTTCAGCCAGCTGAAAGTACATAGGGGCGAGATAAGTAATTAGCTTGAGTGGGGAACAGGGACTCTACTGCATAGATGTCAACAGTGATGATGCATTCTTTTTAGGACAAAGCAAATAATCAGGAAAAGTAGGGCTCCCACTTAGAAAAACAGAACTTATTTTAATAAGAATGTCCTGCCTCTGTAWAAGTTTATACTCTGAAAATGCATAGTTGAAGATAAACACTAAGTCTTTCATCAATGTTTGCAAATTTCATAGTGCTTTATGGAAGTGAAGCACTTCAAATGCTTTAAATATTTGCTTTAAAAATAAGCAAGTACTTAAATAAATTTWAAAATAATATTTTAAATTAAATTAAAATTCTATATTAGCTGGAGAGAAAACAGTTCACAGGACATTCTTTTGAAAAAAATAGCTATAAAATGGGCTGTAAAGTCGCAAAAGGGGGTGTGGAAAATGGATTTTAAATAAGTGGCAGCATTTGAATATGTGGGTCTCATTTCTTTTAATTCTGAACAATCACAACTCAAACAGCCTATTAAAGGTCTCGCCCAAAAAACATGATGTACTTGATAACATGCCWTTCTCACATACACTAAACAATGAAAAGCAGTCACACAGATTTTTCTCTCTGAAATATGTGAGTCTTGATTTTCTTCACCAAAAGTAGAAAATGCTTAGMAATAGATAAGCCGAGAAAATATATATAGCTTTAATTAAATATTAATGTTAACTGTCTTTAAAATGTGTAAGAATCTTTAACAGAACTCAGTAATTATCCTACACAATCTCTTTTAAACGCTAGACATTACATAACAATTGGCTCSTACAGAATGCAAACAATTATCAGAAACTTACGTGTATGATTTTCCAGAACCAGTCTGTCCATAAGCAAAAAGACAAATGTTGTAGCCCTCAAAAGCTCTCTCAAGGAGTGGTACTGCCAAAGTGTTATAAACCATCGCTTGGCTTGCAAAGCTTGGATGACACTTATCAAAAGASCAGAAGGAGAAGTCATAACTGAAGCTGTAAACCTGGTTTGTGTCCAGATTTTGTACCACTGTCTCTGACCCACTCATGGAGACCACAGGAAAGGCATTTTCATTTTTCTCTCTGAATAGAAAGAGCAGAGAGAAGAATAAAGAAAACTAATAATGTAAGCTACATTCTGCCACAGTAATTTCAATCATATTGCCTTATGGAAAATAAGAAGTTGAGTAATTTTTAAAAGTCATTTTTAAAATATATGACAAGTCTAAAAAAATGTTATTAAAGAATTGAATGTCCCATTTAGTAAACATAAGAAATACTGGAACATTTAAGCCAGGGAATATTTTAAGAAAGCCCACAACAACTATAAAATGATGAATTCATCTCTTAATAAAATCTTTATCCCAATACCATATAAAATACTTAATACTTTCAAAAGTATTAAAATAGGAATTAAAAAACAAAAATAGGAAGCAAGAATCAACCTGTACCATAAAAGCCATTCTTCAATACGAAAAGCAGCTCCAAGATACAAACCTGCTACTGAAAGGCCGTACACGAACAGCTACAGTCACTTTGCTGTTTTCCGCTTTGAAAACGTCTGTCTTGGTGCTATTGCTCTCAGCTGGAGCCCCTTCCTTGGAAGCTAGCACATACGTTGTGTTCTCTTCTGCTTTGGCACGTCTACTGACRGAGGGAGAGCTGGAGACACTCATTTTCTTTTTAGCTCCAATTTGAGGATAAGATATTTGTTTCTTTGAAGCAGACACAGAAAAAAATCTCATATCCTGAGGAGTGCTATGTTTTGGTGTAAGCTTCAGTCCTTCAGTTTTATCTTTTCTTGGTGTCCTTGGCCTTTCTAAGGCACTGTGTTTTATAGGTAAGCTTTCTAACCCTTCTTTTTCAGCTCCCTTATTTACACTGCCTTTTTCTTTCAGCTGTTCTCCCAGGGTCCTATTACTATATTTTGAGGTAACCCATTGCGCTGATCTAGGAACTTCATTTTGTAGCTTTTTATCCAAAGTGATTGTCCTATATTTTAAATGCCCATAGCTATCTTTTTCAGACAGACCATCAACATTACTTAGTGAATCCTTGCTGCTCAGATTAGAGTACTTCTTCATAATGGACTGACCTTCAGCTAATCTACAGCTTGGTTTAGCATAACAGGTATCGTTACTTCCTGTACTTGATGGAAGCACAGTCTTGGAATTTCTTTGGACAATAACAGAACCTTTACTTTCTGTTCCAGACGCAGCATTCCAATTTATTTTATTCTTCTCCATAGGGTCAGTCCTCACACGTCTCTGCAGAATAAGCCTTTTCTCAGCTTGTACATTTTCTGCATCCTGCGCTGATTTTTCGCTCAATTGTTCACCACTGCAARCTGATTCTTTGCCTGCTGCGGTTCTCCCCTGAAGCATTAATTTATCTTCAGGCTTAAACTTAATCGGTGTATCACCAGCTTTTTTACAGGCAGAAATCACATAAGTCCTGTTTACTTCTCTGGCCTTATTCTGAGAGCATGAGAATAGATTATCTTTTTCTTCCTCTGATTCCCCTGATTTCCGTTGCTCTCCAAACTTTTTGCTGCTGGAGGAGATATTTTGTGAAGAATTCCTCTGGAACCCAGTAGCCCCCTGCACCTCAGGGGGGCTTCTTGCAGGAACCGTGTGAACAGGCATTTCATCTTCTGGCAAGTCACTGCTGAGACTTCAAAAAAGATCTGGACATCTTTGAAAGGCTACATCCATTTCCATGTGCTCTTCCTCCTGAAACTTTAAAAGGCGATACAAAATTTTTATTGTAATTATGGCCAAAAGGAGTCATGTTTTAGCAAGTGAGGAACTTTATRCATACGCTGCAGTAAATATTTCCCCCACAAAACAATAAAAGTAACTAACTTCCTTTGCCCTTAAGCACTTACATATAGACACGTATGTGTTTTCTTCTTGCTCTGGAGTTCGTTCAGGAAGCAGATACCTGCTTCAGCAGTAGGGAGCTATTTGATTTCGTTTATCAGGCGACACAGTTCTGAAATCAAGCCGAACACCCGAAGACCCAGGAGACACAAACAGTCCCTTTCTCCCAGGGGACAAGCAGCAGTTTCCAGCCCCAGGGAATCAGAACCACCTCTCTCCGCCCGGAGACATTAACGCTCCCGGTGTTTCACAGCTACCGGTAAGCGTTGTGCCGTTGGGGACAACGGGAGCATCCCTCGGCCACCTTAGGTGCTTTAAGGACAGTATTAGTGGAAGAAAGGGACGCGCGGAAGGGGAAGGGGAAGGGGGACCCCCCCCATAGCAGACCTCAGGCGCAGCCCCCTCGAGCCCGGTCCGGTCGGGACGCGATCCCCGCTCACCTGCCGCCCCTCTGCGCACCGGCCGCGGCTCGCGGCCCCTCCCGGCTCCTTTTTGAATGCGCCGCGCGCGCGGCCATTGGCTGCCCGCGAGCACGTGAGGAGGATGGGCGTGGCAACGGACGCCGCTCCGCCGCGCGTGTGCGCATGCGCGGGCACGCCCCTCTCACGCGGTGCCCGCGTCCTGGCGGGAAGCTGAGGCGGGTRTCGCTGGGGTGCGGGGCGGGGGATACGCGCGGCCGCTGCGTCGTAGCGGGGAAAAACACAGATTTAATAGCGTTTAAACGTTAGAGCATGTCAGGCTGGGAAAGACTGTCAATTGCTGGAGACCGAAAGTACAGATTAGGGGTTGACCTGCTGGAAGGTAGCTCCACAGAGAGGGGTTTGGGAGTCCTGCTTGACAGCAAGTTAATCACGAGGCAACAACGTGCTCCTGTGGCCAAGAAGGCCGATGAGGTCCTGGCTGCATGAGGAGGATATTGCCAGCAGGGCGAGCGAGGGGATCCTGCCCCTCTAGTTGGCTCTGGTGGGCCCCACCTGGAGCATCAGGTGCAGTCCTGGGCTCCGACGTGTAAGAGGCATCTGGAGAGGATCCATAGGGGAGCAACAGAAATAGTGACAGGACTGGAGCAGCTATGTTATGAGCAAAGACTAAGTGAGCTGGGCCTGTTCAGCCTGGAGAAGATCTGAACAATATTTACCAATACCTGATGGCAGAATGTAAAGAGGATGGGGCCAAAATMTTTTCAGTGACAGGGGCCAGGAGCAGGACAGGGTGTAATGGGTGGTATATGCTGCAACACAGGCAGTTCCATCTCCATGCGAACAACTTGAATGTGAAGAACGTGAGGGAGGGTTTGGAGTCTCCTTTGGAGATGTTCAAAACCCACCTGGCTGTGACCTATGCCCCATGCTCTRGGTGTTGTCCCTACTGGTCTCTAGAGGGCCCTTCCGACCTTCACTGGTCTGTGACAGCAGCCCACGTGCCCACGAGGGCCCCTGTGTGCCCTGCGCACACACTGATTTCTTAAACAAGAACATGGAAATAAAAGTTTGAAAAAAGTCRGCAGAGGGAGACAAAGGACAAAGCATGGGAAAAATAGTCCAAGAAAAAACTTGAGGTCTTCCCCCCTCTTGTGTCATGTGTAAATTAATAGCAACATTGCATACTATTTTTTAACCTCTACGGAAAAAAAATCAGCTACTAAACTTTTTTTTCCATATATATACACACACTAAGGTTTATTTATTTCTTTTTAATATACCAAAGTCACTCTGTCATCCACTGGAATGAAATGGTCATTCAGAAATAAAATGTTTAAAAAATCCTCTCTATTTGTGTTGCAAGCAAGGCACAACACTATTTATWAAAAAAAAAAAGCGTGGACTACTTTACCTCAAACGTAAAACATTAGTATTTCAAAATAAAGAGGGGAAACAAGAAGACTCTTGAAAAATCTGTAGATGTAAGTCTCTTCACAAAAAAAAAAGGAAATACACAACACCATAGTTCCATGTTTATTTTCTAACAAAGTTTTAATTATAATTACCTATGATAGCTATAAAGGCACCTTTACTACCTCTGAGAACTACTTTTGTCATGTTTTCTAATAATGTCCATAAGGTTGTCTCCTGTTACAAGGCTATTATGTAACTGTTTAAGTCTCTGTTGTTCCCTTCTCTTTTGGTCATGAAGATAAGGGGAATTCAGCAGCTGGGGAGGAAGAATGGTGCCTGTTGGTTTCACTCTCTTCACAACATCCCAAAAGAGCTTCTTGCTGTTGTTGTTGATAAAAGTAATTGCAGTTCCACTGTGACCYAATCTCCCTGCTCTTCCAACCTGAAAAAAATAGTTTCTGTTATTAATAAAAGTGAAATTCCTTCAAGTCTCCTTGTAGTTAATTTTCTGTTATAAAATAGATCTAGGCATTCAACAACTGTTATAAATGACAAGACCAAATCTCTGTACCCCATCTCCTAAGCACAAAGTTTTGAAAAAATCCTGAATTCCTAATATGCAGATTTGAAGTTTTGGTTCAAATGCATCTGAAGTTAACACTTGTAYTTGGCACAACTGATACCAAGATGCCTGATAAAACCTACAGGCAGTCAAGTTGAATGCTGAAAGCAAATCTAATCCAAATAACACTTTAACAGCTAGTAGAGCAATGCCATATGTAACCATCTATCTACGGTAGACCAACTGCAGCAGAGAGAAATTTGCCCTTTTTCCCCCCACAGAAAATAAAAATAGGGCAAATCTTGCTTTCTACATATCTTTGTGCTGTAAGAGAGGACAAAGCAGARAACAATGGAGAACAATCTGCTGTACAAACTGTCTTTACATTTATATATTTTGATTTAAACTTCCATAGTTCAAAGTGGTACATTTCCATATGCATCATAAAAGAAAGTGTTGGTAAATAATTCATGCAACTATTTTTTTTTTCTTCTTACCTGATGTACATATTCATCCATACTGGAAGGCATATCAAAATTTACTACCAGTTTCACATTGACAAGGTCAAGTCCTCGTCCCAGGACTCCAGTACTTACTATAACTTCATACTTCTTTTGAAGTAATCCCTGCCCAAGAAGGAAAAAAAATTACTTCTCATATATTTTTCCTTATTTGTACTTTGAACATTTCCAAGCACATTAGAGGTGGTTAAATTCCTAATCCAAAGCAAATAATTTAAGAAATAGTCCCCAGTGTTTACCTACATTTAGAATAGAATTATTACCTAGAGGCAAGTTTTGCTTGCCTCTGCCCTCACACTCCAGGCATTACTACAGGAACGCAACGAATGCAACAGAGAGGCAAATATACTACAAATCACTTGCCAAGAACAACAAACCAATGAAAACAAGAACTGCAGTTGAAGAAGTTTTGAAGTATCATTCTCAATTATTATAGAGATGATAGGAAGCTATAACTTGACTCAAACTAAATCATCTTTAAAAAATAAAATTAGCCATTTAAAAATCTATTAAAACCATGCAACTCCGGGAGGCACAAACCTGTAATATTTCTGTTCTTTCCACTTGAGATTTTTCAGAGTGCATGGATACACACTGCAGTCCTGTAATCTTGTGAACAGCATCACTCAGCAAGTCTGCTCCTAGTTTGCAGTCCACAAACACCAACACCGGAGGCTTGAAGAGTTTCTTATCCTGTATAATTAAACAGTTTAGATAAAAAGGTACTACAACAGTCAATTGCTCATCAGCAGCAACTTGGATTCAATTTCTGTTGCTCACCATCTCTGTAGTATTAACATCACATTTAGATGAATAAACATTCTTAAATTCCAGGCTAGAAAGACGATATCAGCACTAAAACTAAACAAATCTGCACATAAAAGAACACAAATATGGGTTCTGATTCTTAAGAATCCTTTCATCTCCTTACACAATTTTTCAACTAAAAGTTTCTTTAAAGGTTACATGACAATGTTGGCTTTCTGTAAGTTCTGAGGTTGAGCTAAACTTAAAAGCTAAAGCTGACTATTTCCCAGCCAAGATCACCATCCTGTCCAAATTCTCATAAAAATACACAAGGGATTAAATTCATTCATTACTGATAAACATTCACAAGAAAATTACAAAGAACTATTYGCTTTCTTTCTAATTTCTTTCTTGACTTTGACAAACCACTTCCAGACCAAAAAGGARCTGTAACTGCTTAAGAAATCTGTATGCCTCTCCAGTTCACAGATATGCCAGTACAATTCACTGAGGTACCACATAGTAAACCACCCAAAAAAAATCAAGTCATTTTTAACTAGGGCCATTGAGGGATCCAGTTTGCTGCTGCCCAAAAGATGGTGTGAAGAATAGCAGTGGAAAAATCCCTAAAACTGCCAYTGAAGCTCTTCTGTTAAGAACTACTGAAACAGTTAGTGCAGTTGTGTGCTTAACCTCATTCCACCTTTTCATTATGTACAGATTAGAATCAAAGATGAGAAGCCGACACTGTGACACAGGTGTGTAAAGACACAAATTTGTATGAGAAAAATATTATACTTACATTTAGTATTTCAAATAATTTTTTCTTTTTAGATGGTTCTTCCACCCATAAGATAATTTGGCGAACGTTAGAACATGGCAGATTCTTGTCTCCAATTGTTATTCTTACAAAATTGTGCAAAAGCTGATTTGCCAGCTGTTCAATGCCCACTGGAATTGTGGCTGACACCAGGATGGTTTGATGACCATGAGAAATATTTTCCAAAATATCCAGCACTTGCTGCTGGAAACCCATTTTTAACATGGTATCCACCTGAGTAAAACACAGGGGATCTGTATCAGATTTTTCAATAGACAGTAGTATCTGCAACTTAAACATAACGGGTCGTATGCGAGTTCATAATTAGCATGCAATTATCCAA